CATGATAAATATATATACATATATCAAGTTAGTCTCTATATATATATCAAGTTAATATCTAGGATTCTAATTTGGGAACCTTCTAATTCGTTTTTTTCTGTTATTTATGTAGAGAGTTGGAAACGAGACCATTCCATTAGGCGAGGCATTGCTAAGAGCACGCAGTTTGTTTCCACAGAGCTACTGGTATTGGATTGGTGCTGGTGCTTTGCTTGGATATACAGTTCTATTCAACGTCCTCTTCACATTCTTCCTAGCTTACCTTAATCGTAAGTCATTTCTGCTCGTAAGAATAACCTAATTTTCATTTTTGCTCGAGTGCTACATGTAGCCAAACAAACTCAAAGAAAGAAAGCTAATTAAGTTGATGTACGATATATACAACAGCCTTGGGGAAACGACAAGCAGTAGTCACTAAGGACGAGCTTCAAGACAGAGAAAGGAGAAGAAAAGGAGACACTGTTGTTATTGAGCTGAGACAGTACTTGCAGCATTCAGAGTCATTAAATGGTTCGTAAAGAAATTCATAAAATTGATTATGTTTTAGAACAAATCTTTTCACTTAACAATGGATTAGTCTAATTTCCGAAATTCTTGTTCATATTCTGCGCAGGAAAATATTTGAAGCAGAGAGGAATGGTGCTCCCATTTCAACAACTTTCCATGTCTTTCAGCAATATCAATTACTATGTCGATGTCCCTCAGGTGAGACATTAACACTACTCGCACCATCTATTCTTGGAAACATGTTGACTAGATATCTTTTCTGATCGAAGTACAACTGCAGGAATTGAAGCAGCAGGGCATTCAAGAAGAGAAATTGCAGTTGTTGAGTAATGTCACTGGCACATTTAGGCCCGGGGTGCTTACAGCATTGGTTGGAGTAAGTGGTGCTGGGAAAACCACCCTCATGGACGTATTAGCTGGTCGAAAAACCGGTGGGATGATTGAAGGGAGCATTCATATATCTGGTTACCCAAAAAGACAAGAAACTTTTGCGAGAATTTCTGGTTACTGCGAGCAGTCCGATATTCATTCCCCCTGCTTGACTGTTCTGGAATCACTTCTCTTCTCTGTTTGGCTTCGATTACCATCAGATGTTGACTTGGAGACACAGAGGGTATGCTCATAATTTATTTACTGCTTGTGTATGTCTTCATTATAGGATCAACTAATCCATCATCTTAAGTAATTTAAAAAAACATGCAGGCGTTTGTAGAAGAGGTGATGGAACTAGTGGAGCTCACCCCATTAAGTGGGGCATTGGTTGGTCTACCGGGGGTAGATGGTTTGTCGACAGAACAGCGAAAAAGGCTAACGATAGCTGTTGAGCTGGTCGCCAACCCCTCTATAGTGTTCATGGATGAACCCACATCAGGGTTGGATGCACGGTCTGCAGCTATTGTGATGAGGACTGTGAGGAATATAGTCAATACTGGACGCACTATAGTGTGCACAATCCACCAGCCTAGCATAGACATCTTTGAATCCTTTGATGAAGTACTCTCTCTCTCTCCATCTCTCTCCCCCTGTATATCTATACCGATATAATGTCTTGATTCGTCGTGCTATAATCTTATCTGTCATTGCAGCTTCTGTTTTTGAAGCGCGGAGGAGAGCTCATATATGCTGGTCCACTTGGTCCCAGGTCTTGTGAACTCATTAAATACTTTGAGGTTGGATCTTGCACGCCAGTATTTCGTTTAGAAAATGTGAGATTGCATAATGGTGACCATTGTCAACTTAAAATATAAATATTTCCTTCTGCAGGCAGTCGAGGGAGTAGAAAAGATCAGGCCTGGATATAATCCTGCCACATGGATGCTTGATGTTACTTCTACAGTTGAAGAAAGTCGCCTGGGGGTGGATTTTGCAGAAGTTTACCGTAGATCTAACTTGTTTCAGTATGACTGCTTAATGAATTCTGGCTGTGTTGCTTGTTCGGAGAACTATCAGCTTCCTTAACTAACAACCTATCCTCCTTTGTTTCAGACGTAATAAAGAGTTGGTTGAAAACCTAAGCAAACCAAGCGCCAATTCGAAGGACTTGAACTTTCCAAGCAAGTACTCTCAGTCATTTGTCGAACAATTTCTCACTTGTCTTTGGAAGCAAAATCTGTCTTACTGGCGAAACCCTCAGTACACTGCAGTTCGCTTTTTTTATACAGTCATCATCTCGTTTATGTTGGGAACAATTTGTTGGAAATTCGGAGACAAGAGGTTTCCTCTTTTTTCTTATTCTTCTGAATTTGTTGCAACTCTTAAGATATTTCGAGCTTAGATATTTTTCTGCAATTTAGGTTCTATGACAGGACTTTTACTTTCTCTCTTACAGGGAGACCCAGCAGGATCTGTTAAACGCTATGGGGTCCATGTATGCAGCAATCCTATTTAGCGGAATCACCAATGCCAGTGCTGTTCAACCTGTTATTTCTGTAGAACGATTTGTTTCGTATCGAGAGAGAGCTGCTGGGATGTACTCGGCCTTACCATTTGCATTTGCTCAGGTTTGCCTTTATTACGCTATGCTCACTCACAATACCCTGACACTCCTGAAAGCCATCTAATGCATTGATGGGGTGTTTGCAGGTCGTAATAGAGCTCCCTTATGTGTTTGCACAAGCGATTATCTACTGCGCAATTTTTTACTACACGGCCTCATTTGAGTGGACTCTTTTCAAGTTTCTTTGGTACATATTCTTTATGTACTTCACAATGCTATATTTCACCTTCTACGGAATGATGACAATCGCTGTCACGCCAAATCATAATGTCGCTGCTATAATTGCTGCTCCGATTTACATGCTGTGGAACCTCTTCAGCGGCTTTATGATTCCTCACAAGGTAACGGAAAGTGACTGCTTTCTTTCGTCTCAGTTTGCTTAATTTAATCACTTGCGTTCTGTGCTACATCTCGGATGTATAATGCTAGTTTCAGACACGAAACTAGCACGAAAACCTGATTTATAGGTGAAAATACTGATTCATTGAGCTAGCTATCTAACACGCACTTGTGCAGCGAATTCCAATCTGGTGGAGATGGTATTACTGGGCAGACCCTATCGCCTGGAGTCTGTACGGCCTCTTTGTTTCACAGTACGGCGAGGATGACAGTCTTGTGAAGCTAGCTGACGGAATCCATAAGATGCCTGTAAGGCAGTTGCTCGAAGTAGGGTTTGGTTACAAGCATGATTTTCTGGGTGTAGCCGGCATTGCGGTGGTCGGTTTCTGCGTGTTTTTCGCCTTTGTTTTTGCCTTTGCAATAAAAGCATTCAACTTCCAGAGGAGATGATAAGTCCAATTTTTATACCGCATTGCTTTGGTTCTGGGATTATTGCTTGTAATACTAGTACATCAGCTTTTCCTGAAGGAACAGTTGAGGTGTATAGCTACAAGGTTTACATATATTGTATGTTTTACTTTACAAAACTTAAAAATGTTGTTGTAAAGTTCCATATTTTTTGTATGAACGCTTCTTCAACCAATTGGTGAATAAAATCTCATCGTCTTTTTTGTTTTCTAAGGACCCGGCTGATAACATTTTGTGCTCATTTCTCTATATATATATTGGCTTGTCAATCATACGCGACTGACAATAAGAAAAATTCAAGAAAGATCCAATGACCTCGAAGCCAGCTTTTAGACCTTTTCCAACCCTGGGTTAAAACTTAAATTTCCACTTCTATTCTCCTCCAAAACTCAATCCAACCCAAGGTTAAAGTGTGGTTTAAAACCTAAAACTCAAATGGAATCCAAATTTAGCCTAGGATTAGTGGGGCTGGCTCACCATATATGTATATTTTATTTTTTATAAATTCATTGATAAAATTCAACGGTAAAAAAAAAATTTAACAGTCCAAATTTAAAACTAATGGCTAAAGTAAATTAAAAAAAAACTTTCATTTGTTTCATATTTTTTTCATAGTATTTAACGAGTTTCATGGTATTGGTTAGTGATTTTTTAGTATTTGTCAGAATCTAAATAATTTTTCTCGGGTTATGGACACTTGTAAACGATCTGATATATCGTACGTCCGGAAGCATGGTAAACATGACATATAGTGATATGTTCATGGGACAAGGATTGTCTACCCTCCCACTTCCAGTGCCCTCCCGTGCCCTTCTGTTTATGTGGTCACAGTTAAACCACGTCAATATTTTATATTACTATTCATTTTTGTCTTATTATCTCTATAAAAAATAATATAAAATATAAACGTGACTTAACCATGACCATACAAAACAATAGGGTACGAAAGAGCACCGAAAATGAAAGGGCAGACAATCCTTGTCTATGTTCATGTCCGTGGAGAATGAAGGGGGCATGTATGCGACTTTTTTTTAACCTCACAAGTGCAGTGCAGTACGACTTACTGGATTTGTGCGTTGTAGGAACTTTAGGCCACTCATTTTTCAACATTTTCTTTCTCAAAGAGGGAAAAATCCAGGAAAGATTAGAAATTTGGGCCACTGATAAAAGTATTACGAGGCATGTTGTTTCAAAGTCAAACGTCATCATTAAATTCCCAACTAACCTTCGTACGATGATATCATTATCTTCGTACAATGATAGGGTTTCTTTTTGCTCATCATTATCTTCGTACAATGATAGGGTTTCTTTTTGCTCATCATTCTCAAACGGTGATAATGGTCATCACTTTACATATTATCACTCCGAATGAATTTAAATTTTCATTAAAAAGATCCGGAGAGGATCCTGTTGGACGGATTTGGATCCTCTCCTGAGCTAATAGAGAGGATCCTCCTGATCAAGCATTGTGAACCGTTGGATTTTTATCTAATATAATCAAATCCAACAGTTACAAATAAAAGATCCCTTTAAAGTTATAATAATTATGGCCGTTAAATGAAAATTCAACAGAACTCAGAGGATCAAAATCCCTGTTGGACCTACATGCACGCATGCCGCACCCTCTACGAGGAGAGAAATTATATATCTGAAACTGAACCCCTTTTAATTCAGTTTATTACACCTCCAAAATCTGCCCAGAAAACCGACAAAATAAGAAACTGTTTGGTCAACCGCTCTCTCTTCTAGTTCATATCCGTACAAAAACTCTCTCTCTCTCTCTCTCTCTCTCATATGATGAACATGAACTCATCAATCTCAGACTCCTTCAAAACAAACCCTATCAACCTCTCCCACATTATCCCACTCGATTTCGAATCCGTTCATGCCCTACCCGATTCCCACGTCTGGACTCATAGGAAGGAGGTTGAGATTCCAACACCTTATAATACTCCGTCTTTAGTCTGCGTACCCGTCATTGACCTATTCGATTCGAACGCCGCCTCTCTCATACGCCGTGCATGCGAGAAATGGGGTGTCTTCCAAGTCACCAACCACGGCATTCCCATGCACCTCATGAAAGAAGCCGAGTTCCAAACCCGTCGCTTATTCGCTCTCCCGAGAGACCAAAAGCTCCGGGCCCTCCGATCACCCGAGGGAGTAACCGGGTACGGGTTGGCCCGCATTTCGAAGAACTTCCCGAAGCTGATGTGGTCAGAGGGCTTCACCATCATGGGGTCTCCGGCGGAACATGCTCTTCAACTTTGGCCACGTCACCATGCCAACTTCTGGTACGTGCACAAAAGCATAAATAATGCACTTTAGTATCGTTTCTCTTTAATTAGATTATGTTCCTTAATCCTTATGGTCGATGACTCGATGGATTGAGGAGCATGTTTCAAATATGACGTGGTGGAATATGAGTAGTTTAGAACTAAGCTTAGCGTACGCGTGTCCGTACTGGTACATACACCATCTGCCTTGTTCTTCACGTAGTCCGTTTGCTCATGATCCAGAGTCCAGACCCATAACATGGAGAGATTTTCAGTGTCACCGAAAAATAGAGTAGTAGGCCATATGTTATTTTACAATTAGAGTGATATTTATATATATATATATATAAATAAATGGAGTAGTACACTGTATGTCATATTACAATTAGAGTGACACTTGAAAAAAAAATCTCTCTCCAACCGTATAAGGATATATAGTGTACCGCTTCTTGTTCCGATCACACTGAAAATCTCTCAATAACAAGAACGGACTTCTTTTCTTTTTTGGGGTTGTGCTCAAAACAATTTAAAAAAAAAATTATTTTGAAAAATATTTGGTTGAGGATCATTGGTTTTTTACATACAAATAACAATTTGTTACTTTAACATAAACTTTTCTTTTTGTGATTTTACCAAGTCGCTTGAGTGTATGTATCAGTTTGTGATCTTGTATTTACGAACACGGAATTTGCAGTTAAGTTCTTTCACTCGACAATAAACATTTTTATGGTATCGGAATGTCAATCTGAATTACATACAATTAAACAAAAGTTCATTTATTAACGGTTCAGATTGAAAACAACCATTTTAGTACAGATTTGTGTTATTGGTCATCATAATATTTGCATCAATTTAATCACTCATCGATGTTCATGCAGCGATGCAATGGAAGAGTACCAAAAGGAGATGAAGGGCCTAGCCCTAAAATTAATTGGGCTCATGCTTGGATCATTGGGCCTGAACTACGAAGATGTGAAGTGGCTTAAGCCCAAAAATAGCAGCAGGCCACAGACCGTGCTTCAACTGAACTCCTACCCGGTCTGCCCAGACCCGACCCGGGCAATGGGTCTCGCTCCTCACACGGACTCCTCATTGCTCACTTTGCTAAACCAAAGCAGCATAAGCGGCCTCCAAGTCCTTGTGGACGGGATCCGGTGGGTGCCGGCGCACCCGATCCCCGGCGCCCTTGTAGTCAATGTCGGTGATTTAATGCACATACTGTCGAACGGACAATTCAAAAGTGCGGCGCATCGTGCGGTTGTCAACGAAGTACACCATCGCATCTCGATGGCGTACTTCTATGGCCCGCCGATGGACGTGAAGATATCGCCGTTGATTGACCACAATCATCCACTCTATCAGCCGGTAACATGGAAGGAGTACCTCGATTACAAAGCAACGCATTTCGACAAGGCGCTTGAAGTAATCCGGACAGATGCCCAGAAGCTGTACCAGCGTACATCTGATGATTTTGCCTTCGGCCAATGGCCCAATTGTACATAGATTACGTTGTAAGCCCCTTTTTAAGTTGAAGAAGGAGATTCTTTCGATCGAGTTTGTTTTGACATGGCAGTTAAGCTCGACGCAACAAAATTCTTCTATCAGTTCGCTAGCATGTCACTTCTTTCGTGCACAGTAAACATATAAACAACTAAGGCATCTAAATGCCGACTCCTTCAAGATGCGGTGAGGAAAAGATACCACCATGTCACTTCCAGAGCTTGACGCACTTGTCGTGGCTGGCCGAAGCAACTAGCCCCGTAGCATTTGATACCGCCAGAGAAGACACTAGCTTGTCATGAGCGTGCAGAGTCATTGTCTTGTTCTCGGCCATGTTCCAAAGCTCCAAAGTCTGATTTCGCGCACCAATTTCACATCAAAATTAAAACCCGCTTAGCATCTTCGATGAGAGAAAGGCATCAGCATAACAAAACGTAGAGAGCAGTTATGACTTACCTCATAACAGCCAATCACCAACAATGCAGGATAAGTCGGATGGAACACACACGTTTTGAATTTGTTGCCGGAACAGCTCAACTCGTGAATCAATTCCCCTTTGCAGCTGGAACCAACTGTCCACACTCGAACCAAATCGTCACTCACTGATGCTAGATACTCGCCAGAAGGATCCCAGCACACAGAATGCACATGGCTTTTATGTCCCTACATGAATACCGCAAGAAACAAATCACAACGCGTTCATGATGACATGATGGTTACGAAATTTTAAGAAACCACGGAACGTAGTCGTAAGATTTTGATTCATATATTAATTGGACTTGTCAAGAAAAAGCGTCCAGGTAAAAGACAGTAATCTTGTTTGTACGTGCATTTCATTCGACCCCAAAAATGTGGACACCACCACCACTACCCATTTCTAACGATTTCAAATCAATAGTAAAACTATTAAAATGTAACAGAAAGTCAATAAGAAACCTGTAATTTAAGCCTGCAAACTTGTGTCTCAACATCCAAGATTGATACAAAATTATCTGCTGCAGCAGCAAGGTTTCTTCCAAAACGAGGTTGAAACCTCATCTGAGTTGCACCACCCTGAAAAAGTAGTGTAACATTATTAAATACAAATAGGTTGACTAAATGAAAAAACAGAATTCTGGTACTCCCTATACAGAGTAGACAAATTAACACCGTGTTGTATACCTTGAAAACTCCAGCACAACTACCATTCTTGATACTCCAGTACCGCATCTCACTGTTGTTATCACAAGAGCAGAGAAGGTCCTCTTTACTGGGATGGAAGTCCACTGACACAACAGTGGCAGAATGTCCCACAAAATTACGAAGTGAATATCCAGGCTACAGGAAATCAAATCAAATCATCAATTGCATGGAACAATAGGTCGTTTGCCAGGTTTTCCAGATTGCAATTTCGTGTTCATGACAAGCTGTTACCATGTCGGTTTCAAGTTCTCATTATACTCTTTTCATATTAAACATAAAATCATCATGGTAGCATACACTACATGCCATGAACCTAAGAAATGCATACGTCGACTCACATTATCAGCATCCCAAACCCGGACGGTTTTATCTGCAGAAGATGTAGCAAGCCTTGACATGCTAGGACTAAAGCGAACGTCAGTTATCCATTGAGAATGCTCTTCAAGTGTGGACTTGACACTATAGGTTTCAGTGCACCACAATACAGCCTGCATCATAAAATAATCAAAGTAATCCTGAGTATTTTGTGTTTCTTTCAACTATTCATATTGGTAACAAGTTTTTTTTTCAAAACAGCAGATATCATTTTAGGCCAGTCATGCCCCTAAAACCTATATTAAACTTTGATCTGCCTAGGCTTACCTTTCGGTCATGCCCACCAGTGGCAAGTGATTTTCCATCTGAAGAGAAGTGGCAACATTCAACTTTATTTTTACTTGCAGGAATAAGCTGGACTTCCGTAAAACTGAAGCCTATTTCATCAAGAAGATGTAGAAAGCCTTTTGTTATATTTCTAGTATAAATAAACCAAGATATACATCTTCTGAGAAAATTAACGAGGTTAACAAGTTAGGACCAATATGAAAGTCGGGATTCATCATACCTTTGCCAACATCTGAACACCGAGCAACTCTACCTCTAGGGTCAGCATCATCATGCGATAAGAACGATTCAACATTATCCTCCAAAGATCCATCATCCACAAAACGGTCTACATCAGTCTGCAATATATAGCTCAGTTACTGACTGCCAATGTAGTCCTAGAAACAACCCCTGATAAGTAAGCACTATATGCTTTCTCGCAAAGGGCACATTTAACCATAATAAGAAAATCACATGAGGCAAGTCTCTACGAGCATGTTATACCCACTACAAGTGATTTAGGGTAATACAAGTCATCCCAAATGCAATCAATACAAAGTTAGATAAAATAATGACAAGTTTCTAACCAATTTATTTGGTGCTGATGCAATTGAGCCCAAGCCATCAGAGCCAAACATAAGTACAGACTTCGACGAACCACCATTAGGGGGTAAAGTCGGCATAGACACGCCATCCGCTGTGTGAGTAGAAGGTGTTGAAGGTGAACTGGGAGATGGTCCCGTGGTGTTAACTGTCCCTGAACTATTGGCAGGACCCGAAGATGACACTGGCTGCTTTCTCTTTCGCCCAAGTTGATTCTTTGAAGCCTTGAACAAGGAAAACTAAGTCAGAACCTCATATAGCAGTATTCAACACTAATCAAGTTTACAACGAAATATACAGATCACAAAACAGTTGGCTCTAGAAATATGATGAAATTTGAGTTTAGTACTAAAAAACCAGTTATGTAGAATGGAAAGTTAGTACACGATAAATTTGTAGTACGTTTTTACTGCAATGATCAAGTTGGAAAAAAAGAAAAAAAGAAAAAGAGAGAGATAAGAAAAAGGCATTGCTACAGAAGACAAAAATTTGATGGGCAGTAATAGAAAACCTGATCATTCCCTTGAAAGGTGTTAGGCATGCTACCATCTGGTGCCATGCCACCAGAACCCATAATTTTTTCATGCTGCTGGAGGTGTTGGCTTGAATTATGAGAGTGCTGACTTGAAAGCAGATGCTGCAAATACTGCTGCTGCTGTTGATTGTTGCTTTGCATCTGCTGTTGCTGTAACTGATAAGCTGGCTATATAAGGAAATACATACAGGAAGCATGAAGTTGACAAGATCTAGTGATAATAGCTAAAATTATGAGTTTCCAAAAAATCCATTGTAGACGAAGGAAATGATACCTTCATAAGCATGTCAGCATCTCCACGAGGTAAGACCGGGCAACCAACTTGCACTGGTGATCCAGCATTAGGTACATCAACAGAACTTAATTGACCATCCTTCCCAAGAACCATATTTCGATTGTTGAGAAGCATTCTCATCCTTCTACTGTCCAAGTCATTGGAAGATGGAGAAGGTAAATTTTGTTGTGCCAGCATAAGTTGCTGCTGTTGCAGAAGTTGATTATACGGTTGCGGGGACTGCATCAAAGGATTTTGCTGCTGAAGAATCCCAGATCGAAGCCGATCAAATCCCTAAAAAGGTGGAACTCTATCAGAAAACCACTTATCTAATTTGAAAGAAACACACAGAAAAAATACATTACAATCATATAGAGTGGAAGGGTATTCAGTTCTACCGTTAAAGGCCATCCTTTCAGAGTCAAATTGTTACTGCCTTGATTTGATCCTAATATGAAAATATGAATCATTGGTAAGAGAAGAATCCAATACAAATATGAGTAATGATTTCAACACATAAACGAGCAATGAAATATGCAACAGACTCTGAAATGAGAATTGCATTTTCAATTCTAATTAAATATGAGTCCAAATTGATGATATTTTATGACTCAATTTGGTATTGGCATCTATAATATGAGTCCCTTTCGTTACAAGACAAGGGATCCTGGCCAAAACACTTGCCTTAATAAATCCAATGAGCTATCGATACACAAGAAATTGTACTAGTGTTCTTATTTAACTGCCCAAGTTTCATATCTAAAAACCAGCCCACATTCTAGCAGATGAAAAGAAATAACATCAATCAGTAGATTCAGTACCGTGAGCACCAATCAATGATCCTTCTGGAGCAACAGCTCTGGGATTCATCATCTCACTCTTTATGTCCTGTTTCATCATAGAAAACATGCCCAAAATAAGAAAATCAAATTGTAGGGATAAACAAACAAAGAAACAGATCACTGATGATAATCACCTGTGAAGAACCAGGAAGTTGCTGACTCCGACTGTGAGGTTGTTGAAGATTCCCCAACACACCACCAGGTGTACCATGCAGCATTTGACTGTAAAGGAGTTCAACCACTTTCATATTATTTAAAGTATCAATTGCTAGGAAAGAGCATGCGTTACGCCGTAAAGCTGAGTCATGATAACTATGGAATCTTAAGAGAAATACCCAGGAGGCTGGCCACCTGCTGTAGTTGCTTTCATCATCGAGGCATGATTGGGATCCAAAAGCTGACTCATATTGTCTCCTAACCTTTGCTGCATGGTGTTTGTATTGTGAGGTTGTAACTAGATTAAATGAATATAAGATAGAAAGAAAGTCCCTCGGAATATATGGCAAAACTCATTACCTTGATAGCTGCATCGTCCATAGCATCCCTCTGAGTTGGAAGCTTTAATCTCTCCTCGTACATTTTTGTTGCCATAGAATTTGCAGTTGCAGGGTTCTGCCTCAAAAGAGAATCATTAGAAGTGCCATTATGAAGCTGGGTCCCATCTCGAAGCTGCTGTTGCTGTTGCTGTTGCTGTTGCTGCTGTTGCTGCTGCTGCTGCTGCTGCTGTCGCTGCTGCTGCTGCTGCTGAGCATGTCTCTGTAATCTAAACTGCTGCATTTGTATTTGCTCTTGCTGCTGAGGCTTCTGATGCTGCTCCCTAGCCTTTATCGCTTGAGTCTAACACATCCAGACAAACAGAGAAACAACTGAAAATGGAGAAATTCAAAAAATACCATCTATGTTACGAACAATAGAGCTAGGACTGAAGTCAAATAT